GCACAGTTGCATGTAGTCCAAATGCAGGCCATCTATCCAAGTTCAAAGGAATGTACTCATACACACTGTCAAATCAAGCAGCAGACTGCAAAAGTTTTTGTTAAATTACCATTTTTTGTCTGTCATGCAGTGTATGAATGTGGTGGCAATCAGAAATTAACAAAATTTGCAACAAAAATTAGTATGTTTAATTTTTAAACTATGAAAATACAAGTCAATCTTTTCTTTGGTTGGATTATCACTGCTACCATATGGGAAGCCTAAGTCAGAGACTTTTACAAATAATCTTATTTACAAATAACACACAGTGAACTAGACTTGTATATGTACAGTAACCTGCTTATGTTTTCTCCCTGACAGTAGCTGGCCGTCTCTCCCTATAAACACGATAAACAAAAACCAAGCATCATTTCACCTCCATGAAATACAGCAAAACCATACTGCAGTCAAGTTTAAGCATGTACTGATATTGTCCTACATACAACTACTTTTGAGTACAGAAAACATTATCTTCATTTTGCTGAGGAAGGAACATAAGGAAATTCTGACTCTGCAAAAATCAATGGAAATTTTACCACTGAAGGCAGGACATCATCCAGAAAAAGTAAGTACCAGACTTTCAAATATATTTCAGAATCTATTATGGCATTAAATGCAGTCAGAAAGCACTGACCAAGTGCAGCAGAGCATATAAAGTATTGTGCTTTATAAAGCTATAAAAAGAGTTTCCCAAGACACTCTTCTCCATATTCTGCAATTGCTCTACATTAATACATGGTTGAAATTTCAGGCACTGGGAAACATCCTCCTCTGCAAAGAAGCCAATAATTTAAAGACAACAAGGTCACGTCAAAGATGTGTATCAAGTGTTCAGGGAGGAGGAAGAACAGAGAAACAGTACTCTGAACTTCATTTACACATAGTGCACAAGCAATAACACATTTTAAGAAGGAGGAGCAAAAGGGTGGAGGTTTAACCCCTTCAATCCAGAATAATTTGCTACACAAGGTTGAAAACAGCATTGAAAATATTTTCCTGTTATTTGGTTGGATTAATAAACTAGCAGATGCATTGATATTGTCACTGAAGAATAAATCCCACTTCCATCTTACACATTCTGGAATATCTGGTAATATTTTAAAGTCTTTCATACAGCTCTAGATGTGGATCTAGAGGTCTAGGTGCAACATGATGCTTCCATACCACATGGGATGAAACTGAGAACTTAAGATGGAGCATGCTGGTCTCACAGATTTGATCGCTGAATTAAATGAAAAACAGACACCTTAACATAAAGCATAAACCATTTAAATGGGGGCTGAGAATACAACTGAGCAAGTGCCGTGTTATTCAGTCCAGCTGGCCAGAGCAGGAAATGATATAGAAGGTACAAAGTTTCATTTCTACCGGGATCTGTAGTGTTCATTTCTGACTGAAGATGACAAAGCTAGAAAGAAGTCATGGACATAAATGTGATGTCCAAGAATAGAGAGATTATTTATATTGCTGTAAATCCTACTGACATCAAGGCAAACATACAGGGAGGAATTCCTGATCCCAACCATCTGTTTACAGATAAAGGAAAAAAAACGTTTTCAGACCCTTCAGATTTTGAGGAAAACAAGAACAAGACAGTGCTGGGGGGGGGAGCCAGCCCAGAAAACCTCACTGAGCAATCCTGATTACAAAAATGAGAATCCACACCTCTATCTTCAAACCTTTAAGTGTATAGTATGAAATAAACCACTCTCCCACAGTAGTGTGAAACACAGGAGAGAGACATGGGTATGTCAACAGCACAGAATGATTAAATTGCTTTTTAGTGTATATGTCTTCGTAACATCAATGCATCTCTGCTTATTATTACCAACACTAAGAAATGCTGCAGAGGAAGGTGGTAGAGTGCATCTTCAACACAAGAACAAGGTTGGACGTATTCATTTACCCTAAAACTTCTCCAGGGCATAGATAATTGCTCTTCATTTTATTAATTATTCAAAAAGGTATTACTGCTTTAATTTGCTTGCTGTGCACGCAAGGCAGTAAGTTTGTTATGTAATGAAAAATCTCATTTGGAATGGTATAAAATAGATGCAGCAGATTGTCTTATTTTGATGTCAGCCTGCTTTTTCTGGCTGTGTGTTTCATCAGTGTCAATGGAGCTACCCTCAGCCTTAAGCAGACTATACTGCTTCTCCCCCTTCTCTCCTCAGTTCTCTCTCAAGGACAGAAACTGTGGTCATGAAAATACAGATTGTTTATGGTAAACATCCTAAAAAGCCATTAATTATTTTTGGCTGCCGTAGTATGCAAACATGCCTAATTTCTGTAGAAACTATGAAAATCTCTGCACTTCCAATCAGACACGACTGGGTTTATATTAGTACATCATGAACTCAGCAAAATGTATGAGATCCTAAGGATTAAAACATATTTGTAGTATTTCTGTCCCTTTTACACTCTGTCCTCTAAAAGTGAAAAGTAATTCTGCTTTTTAGAGCAGAAACTATACTTCATGCAGTAATGATGACAACCACATGGATTCTAAACAAAAACAGTGGCTTGCATGAACAAGCACCCACTGTACTGCTAATAGGCTAGAGAGAAGCACTGCATTATTGTCAGTCATACAGTCATAGTTTTCCATCTCTGGCATTTATTCAGTTTTCAAGTGTGAAAACTTAAGCCACCAAAAATCTATTAAGAAGAGATTGAAACGTCACTAGCACTGAAAAAAGCAGCTCCTGAAATTAAAGACAAAATCAGAATAATGAGGTTAGAGGTCCTATCCTGACAAGGCACAGATCTGGCAGTGCAAATAGGTTACAACAACTTATTTGCCAGTTAAAAGATTTCTCCAGCATGGAGTCATCCCAGTCATCATCCATCCTCCTCCCTTCACAGTCCAGGAACAACAGGGATGGGGAATGACAGGGTACCACCATGTTCACGCTACATATGGCTAGTTTGACAGCCCTTAGGGTGCTAATCTAGCCCGCACAAGATAGAGTGGCTGCTCTACTTATTAAATTAGGCTACTCGAATTTAAATTGGTTGGGACGTGGCCAAAGTTCTGCTAGAACTGGCATGCTGCAGTCAGGGCTTAAATGCATCTTTGTTCAACATCTTTGGTTGCACGGAAAGATGCTTACTTCAGCTGAAGTGTGAGCCTGAGCCTAAGCATAACGTCTTCAATACCTTCCTCTCCATGGCTTTGTGAAGCTAAGTGGCCTGACAAAGACACATTTTGTTTAGTGGTCCTCATGCCTTCCACTCCTAATAACACAAGTGCTCCAGCAGTTTATCATGAAGCAAACAAAGTTGGACTTGTCTCGAGATTGGGAGCCTCAAGCCTGCAACACTAATTAACTAACCTGTATTGATCTATACTAATATATACTGCACACAATAGGGTAACTAGCTCTTTATATACAAAAGTAAAAACCATATTCTATACTAAGAGAGAGCTTTTGTGACTCCACCGCAGGGGCATGGAAATTTGGCCACAAATGAGAAAGCTCCATAATCAAAATCAGAACCGTTTTACTAGCAGTGAGTAACTAGCAATGAGGCAGCCTGCAGCTATAACACAGCTGACAGAAAGGATTGGGCTTGGACTGCTTCTTGTGGAGAAAGTAAATGTGAGTGTCTTTCCCATCTTTTTTTGAACCAGGGAAAACAAAATAGTTTCTAGAATCACAAATCAAAATCAGTTTCAGGAATAATGTAGTGAAACTTACTGCTAGGCTACCACAAGAAAAGTGCTGTTTCTACAGTTAAGGGAAACCTTGACGCTCTTTCTCTACTACTCAATTTTATTCTTCATTAAATCCTACTGGTTTACTCTCTAATAAAGCCAACTTCTGACACAAGATTTATAGGCATGCTGTTTGAAAATACATCACCTTTCTCAGTAAACAGAGGCAGGAAGGAAGCAAAAACATTATCTCCCCCCCCCCTTTTCCCTCCTCCCTTCCCTTCCTCCAACACACTGGTTTCATGCTGGTTGCTCTGCTTCTGGATGTGATCATAAACTGGCTTAAAACATTTGCCTTGCAGAGACAAGACCCAACAATTGTCTACACAGATCTGCATTTCCTTCTTTTCTTTCTCTCTTCCTCACAGCATCTACCTTTCTCACCTTCCATTCTTCTTTTTTCACTTTTTCTTAACAACCATCTGGTACATACTTCAGAAGGCACATTGCAATAACTGAAGGGGAATCACTAGGACAAAACTTATGCATCCCTTAATGCTTTACACTTCAAAGGTGTAAAGAAGGCCAGCAGGGTATACCAGCTAGCAATGAAAAAACAAATCAAAACAAAAATAGAGAATCTAAACCACATACTTCTGGAAAAAACTCATGTTCACAACAGCAAACATTATCCTGCAATGTAAAAAACTGAGTGCTTTTTACAGCTTATATTGATTAGTCATTCTGTTCTTTCAAAATTTTCCATGAGTTTTGCTTGCTCCCTTTTTTTTTGAAAAAATCTTTTACACGTACTTTCCTTCTTGATAGTATTAGTCAATCTCAAAGTGATTTACAAAAGAAGTCAGTATTATGTTTCCTATCTGTCAGGCAGGAAACTGAGCTAGAGACAAGAGATAGACCAAAGGTCAGATAGCTGGCTGCTGACAAAGATAAGGCTAGTTTCCATTTCTCAAGACTTCCAATTCAATGCCATAGTGAATATGTCTCTCTGCTTCTCAGTCTGTGGGTAAAATTAAATTTTCTCAAGATAGTTTCCACATAAAATATTTAATAATTGTAAATGTACCACTTTGCAAGAATTTTTTCTCTAGAAGTGGCACACAATGCTACTCAATTATATTTGAATATATACTATATATTACTTGAGCAATAACACTCAGTCTTCTCTCCTTTTAAACAGAAAACAGATTTCTGTACACTGCAGTGAAGACCTTCATATACTAACATCATAAATGCTGCAAGATATTAATCATCTAGGGAATCACAATGAGATGCTACCTACCAAATTTTTGGTCAAACCTCCATGCTGGAACGTGTGCATTGTGCTTCAAGTTGCTATTTGTTGGCAGAGGCACTGTTACATAGATGGGGCCATTCACGGGGATTGGAGTCCCATCACTGTTGAGGAGATGAACGCTGACGGCAGTCACAGGGGTGAGGTCATACCTAGTGCTGTTTCCTACCAAGAGAATGAATTAACATTGTGACTGCAGAATTTTCCAGAATTTAAGATACACCCATGTGGTCCATGACTGCAGTACTGCACCAACATATTTCTCAAGGGATGGTAGTAGTAATTCTCCCTGCCTTACAAAATTCACAAGACGACAGGCATATATGCTCCTTTATGTTTCACTTAATTTTGGAAAATTCTGAAAACAAGAAAACTACAATGCAAAGATCTCCTGCATATATTTTCTCATCTTAGTTCGTCTTAAATAAATATGCACAATTATCACAACCATAATCATGGCCAAGAAAAATAATCTCACAGGCCTTTATTAAAGATTCACATACCCATATGATAGCTAACAAACATCCAAACATGCAGTGACACTGCAAGGATGATTGGTCATATGTGTAAGAATGCCAGGATGTATCTCCTTTGGCCTTTCACTGAAATAAACCAAGCTAAATGGATTATTAGGATACGCAGTGTTATCTTCTTACCTATGTAAGATAATAATAATTCTTCATGTTTAAACTGCATGCCAATGGACATTACTTCATGACAACATGATTTGAAAAACCCTTCAACCATTTAACCAAATGAAACAATGACAGGGAAAAATACCACACATATATATGTATTCAGGGGAAAAAGGCTTGAAGTTTAAAACCAAGGAGATCTGGCAATAGTGGCAGTAGTTTAAACTGGAAGAGATGGAGCTTCCAGTTTTGCAAGGGGCTTGAGCTACCTGGGTTGACACTGCTGCTGGGAGCTGCAGCCCTGCCACCAGCTTCCTGCTGGCTGTGGGGGTTGTGCAGCCACTCCTCCTGCTGTGGGGCTAATCTGAGAGAAGGAACAGGGGTGCTCAGTGGGCAGAGAGCAGGGTGCTGACCCTCCTGTCATCCTGCTGCCTCGCATCAGCATAAACAGACTGTAAAAGCATATGTGCACCCAACAGTGGTATGCCACCTGCGACACTAAGGCACAACAAGGGGTCTTCAGGAATACGCAGTATCTCAGTGACAGTGTTCATTAGGATGAGTACATTCGAGGGAACAGTGGGAGAACATTAAGACCTTTATGATAACTTTTAAGAGTGAGTAAGTCTCAAGGAATGACCTTTGTTAAATTTGGTGTCTCTGAGTAACAGCTCACCGAAGTAAAGACATCACCAGGAAAGTGGGTGGGGTGGGGAAGTGGCAAAGGGAAGGTAAAAAAGAGACAAAATTCCACAGAAATAAGTTCTTCAGATTTTGCAAGAGGTGCCAAACTGAAGATATGGAAAATAACCAGAAGGAACTTTGCATGTGCTTTATTTACTATGATGCACATTTCCCCCAGATTTCAAGGCAAGTGTCACTGTTGCACAGCTGACATGCAAGGAGCATACACGCTGCTTTGACCTACTGTGAATGGAGGGGCAGAAGCATATCTTCCAGAGGGATTAGAGTGCTGAGAAAACAGGCACTCTGAAGATGGCCATATAAGAAAGCCACAGAGCTAACAGAGAAAAAACAGAAAAAAAAAGGTTTGAAAATTCAGCTAGGGCACAGGGGAAGGTTGTCAGCCTACCCAAGCGTTTGTATATTATAGGCTCCAATGGTGCAAAATATCATCCCCTTACAGCCTTAGAATATAAACCAGAGAGATAGAGGAGGGAATTGGAGGGGAAAAAAGACGTTTCTTTATTCCTGATCGTTCAATGCCTCTGCCATGCACCTATAACTTCTGTCAGACTGATCCTTGTCCTCAGGCCACTGGGCCTGGGCCACTAAGTTTCTCAGGCTGGTTTCAAAGAAATAAATTCCTCTTGCTAAGTATCATAAGCTGACCATGTTCTGGCATATACAAATCCCTGATGACAGAAGGTATAACTTCAGATTTTAGAAACATTTGGATTAATAGCTAAGATTAAATTATGGTTTATATTTTACTTATTTTTAGGTATTTAAGATTTAAAATTTTTCTTTCATTACTGTCTTGATAAAGAATATCTGCCCAATATCTGTAAAACTGAATTTTTAGCCCCAGAAAAAAACATGGTAAAACACTGTTTGCATCTTTTTTACTTAAGATGCACTGACACTTTGCTCAGTACTGGGCTGAACAAATGATATTAGAACATGAAGAGATTTCTGAAATCCATTGACCTCTGGCAAGAAGAAATAATCCTTCAGTTTGCCACCTTGCACAGTATGTAAATGCTCATTAAAAAGATACATTTTTCTTTTCTCTGTTGTGAAGGTAAATTAAAGTCAATGCTTATGAAACTCTCACGTGCTATAAAACTGATAAACACATGCACAGATTAAATGGGAATGCAGTTCAATAAATGTCAGCTTTCATTTATTTCTTGTCATTTTTGACATCTGGTGACCTGTAAAGAGCTCTAAAAATAATCAGAGGAAAAACCACTGTGACGTTTGACTGTTTATAAAGAAACAATCAGCCTATGAAACCAGCAGGAGCAATGGTTATTAGCCAGCTTGGTCCATTACTGCAGATGATTGAAAGTTTTGTTTAGGTCAGCTAAAAGGACAAGATTTTATGAAACCATCCTACTGCTCTCCAATTAGTGATTAATACAAACAATAATCTAACACTATACAAGCATGTCACTACTTGTAGCTAAATTCTCTGAAATTTTATGTTTGGAACATGCTGATTCATGCAATGGATTTTCACTTCTCCATATTACTACTTCAACACCCAGCTGGGATTTTGTGAAAACCGTTGGAACTAGTGGAGAATAGGTTTTAGTTAAACAACTGTAGTCACTCTTGATAAATAATAGCCAGAGAACTGAGTTGATTGAAATAAATTGGAGGACCTCTACAGACATGTAAATAAACCATGAAATAATAGAGAAGTAACTGTGGGGGGGAGGAGAGGTGGGAGAGAGGGGAGAAGTGGGAGAGGGGAGGAAGCAGTGTTCAGGAACATTCAAAACTTTCCCATGAAAATTAATGCTAAGTTCTTTTAGGATTCTAAAATTTGTACATATTTTTCTTTTTCTCTTGAGAATGGAAATATCAAAAAATCCTCAGCAAGTGGTGATTTCATTTTTTATTCCTTCAAAAGATTTTCAGGTGAAATCTTCACCGAGTTGCTTGGAAATGAAGAAAAGGAAGTCAATCCAGGTTTAGGATTTTAAAATTTCATGTTTCCACAGCAGGAGAAACTTCTACTAAAAACAGAGGACATTTCACCTATACTATAGTGCATATCCAAATGTATTGTATTTGTAGTCTGTATTATACCATACTGAATACTACAGTATTCAGAAAACAAGGCTATTCTCAGTCTCTTAAACCTAATTTCTTTGCTGGTCATTTTGGTCTTTTGTGACATACTTTTACTTGAAGGCTAATAAAAGTCAAATCCAGGCTTCCCATGCTCAAGTAGAAAGGTTCTTGTCATTGAAGCATACAGAAGGCTAAAAAACCAAGGGTGCACTCATCTGTTTTGTAGGAGGCTAGGAGGATAAAACAGGAAAAAGATGATGTCCTGGTTGTGTAGTTCCCATGAGAGGTGATCATCTGAAATCTTGGAAAGACCTGTTTTCACTAAAAAAATGCAAGGGTGGGAAGCTGGATTGCAGAGTACTAAGGAAAGATTTGGGAGAGAACAATCCCACACACATTGTCAACAGTTTCTTCAGTGGGTTCAGAGATAAAAAGAAAGGAGACAAGGAAGTAGACAGATGAGTAAGATCAAGTGCATTCCTTCTTTTTAAAAAAGATAAAGAGATATTTGATCATGTCTGAATATGAAGAGCCAGAGAAAACTGCAGGTTGAAGATGAGAATAGGGAAATGACAGAGACATAGAATGAGATAGCATGAGATGGAGCAGACAGAAGGATTGGGGTAAGGCAGCAGATACATTTCTAATTGTAATAGAAAAGGAGGTCTTCAGATCTGTACAAAGGGAAGGGTAAGTTTAGTATGCCTTTTTTTTTTAATTTTTCTTTAAAGGGAAAAGCTAACAAGCTCAGTACATAGTTTACACACATGACCTAGCATTCAAAGTCACCTAGATCAACACATCACAAGCAAATGCATCCTGAGAAACAGCAGGGAGAGACCTCAAGGGGTTATTTAGCTTGCTTCAAAGCAGGCTCAGCTAGGCCTGTGCCATCCTCACAGGTGATTATCTAACTGTACAATGCCCTCAAGCAATTGATCCTAGGCTTAAGCTACCCTCACCATAGCAAGATTCTCCTAATCACCAGTCTGAATCTCTCTTGCTGCACTGCAAGTCCACTGCTTGCTTTCTAACCAAATACAGATACAGAGGAAACTATTCTCCTTTTCATACCAGCATTTTAAGACTTTGAAGGTTTCTGTGTCCAATTCTATCTTCCCCTAGTCTACACAACACCAATTATTTCAACCAACAGGCAGTTGCAATCATAAAAATGTATTACAGCTTTGAATTTAACAGTGGTTGTGTTTTTACTACAAATTATTGCTTTCCCTTTGGTGCTAGATGAATTTGCACATCTTTGGCTAAAGCTAGATTCAAAATTACTAACAAAGCCATTGAAACAACTCTTGGTTGAAATAACAGAGTACTAGATCCTTGATAAATGGCATTTTATTTTTTGAAAAAAAAAAGGACAAGAATTCTACGGCTACCTCAAGTTAAATTCTCTTTTGTCCCTTCATGCTAACCTCCATTCTTATACATGCATGTGTGACACATTTTGTTACACTTGTAGTTTAGAGCTAACTTTTCTGATTTCTCAAGGCCTAGGAGTCTTCATCTTTGCTATTCAGTGGTCCGATTTAAAGGACAGTGGACCTTGCTCTCTTGCTTATTGGAACAGCATTTTGATAGGGCAGTTGAACCTGATGATGTGATCATCACCCAAATTTTAAATAATGTTTGCTGGAATGGGGAATAGGAAAAATTACATGGTCAAAAGTGGATCCCTGGACTAATATGAACTCGGAGCAAAACTAAAGGAGTGGGTTACCTGTTCCATTTCCATCTAACCCCTGCAAATAAGGAAAGCTGTCCACTTCCCAGGGTGAACTGGCTGCAGTCAGATATGCTGTCAAATCACTGTAGCTAGTGTTCTCTGGTAATTTCACAGATCTTCTCTGAAAGTGAACTTGTGGCTGAGTCCGTGCACCTAAGAAAATTAAAAGTGACTTTATATCCAATGCGAACAGAATATTTAGGTGTTCATGTTTATGGAAGCACATTTACATTTTTTTTTCATTATAAATTGCAATAGCTTGAGGACAGAGACATCAGAAGACTATCATAAAAGAGGCAGAAAACCAGTATTTTTACATTTATTTTGCAGTTGCCATTATTCTTACGCAAGTATTACAGAGCAAAATTGTGAAGACACCTAATATCAGAAGCTTTTTTGACGATGTTATTTCCCCATATCATCTCCAATTGCATTACACACCTCTTTTAATTAATATAATTTAAACTAAAACTGAGTCCAGAGGTAGGTCATGTAAAAGCTTAGAAAAGCATTCAGTTCCTCATATTTGTTTAAATTTTGTTTCTCCTGAAATAGTCAGATAAATGTAGCTTATACTCTTTAAAGTGATTTTCTAAGAGACAATTCTACCCATAGTCCCAATTAACTTGAGCAATTCCTGTATAAAATTTTTACAAAGCTTTGGCCATGTTAACTATCTCTAGCACTGAGATAATAGTCACTTTTTATTTAAATCACTGGATAAAAAGGTTTACTTCACAAAGCTTGGGTGAAAAGAGTTTCCATATTCTCCCATGCAAAACCCACATCTAAACAGAACCAGATTACTTGGCATGTAAGATTTCACTCTCTTCCTCTGTCTTGTGCAGTTTTAGTGTCTTTTTCAAGATCACTAGGTGTTAATTGAAGGGTCTTTGCTGCAACATGATTTAAGACTGTTTCATGTACTACAGCATTTCATGTCTCATTTAAATCCCAGTTTATAAAGTCAATAGTCTTTTTCAATGGATGCTCACCATTAACACTGTTTAGCAACACACAGCAAGACTCCATCTGCAAGTTTGTGTGTGCAACATGCAAATTAATTTTTAAATCAAAAGCTATTGTATTCTCCAGAGCTCATTTTGCATACCCACAGAACACTCCCCACACAGCACAAAATCAAGAGGCAAGCAGTTTTTTTCTTAATTCACATTTGATTACACGGTTCAAAGATGTCAACTCAAAACAATTTTGCTTCTTTTCCCCTATTAGTCTCTGGCAGACCTTTTAGGCTACATGTAACTTCACTTCAAGAAAGATTAAAGAGCTTTACTCAAAACTCTTAAGCTTTGTTAACTGTCAGTGTCATTAACCAGGAGACTGGAATCTTTTCTTACACTATTTTCTAGCAGGAGCTGTACTTAGGAGAAAACATAAAATTCTACAGAACAAACTTTGTATCAGCCAACAAAAATTGCTATGTAGGTGGGCAACATCTCCAGAGCTGATCATTGTTTAGCTGTCATTTTTCTGGTAATTCTGCAAGAAAAAGCTATAAAACTATTTTTCTAATTTCTGAAACATGTAAGTATTTACCGCTTTCAAGACTGGCAATTTCCTTACATGTTTAAGATAGTCAAACACCTGTGTGAAATGGAAAGCAATCTCCCTTACCCAATTTCTAGGCTTAAATGGAAAATAACATAAAAGACTAAATAAATTGACTGCAATGAACTTGAGGAGGACTCATCTCCTGAGTGATCTCCAATACTGTAGTAGTTTGCTGTACCTCTGGGACAGAACTACTCAAGCCCTTGGGAGCATCTTGACTGCACTGCTGAGGAGGCTACTAAGGCCTGTAGGGATAAGCATCCACAGTAACAAAAACAACAAAACCCCACCACAACAAAGAAACCATCATTAGGATTATCACTAAGAGTTCAGTGTAAAATTGCAGGATTTTCTGCTGTCTACATCTCTGGTTAAAATGAATGATTCAAATTGCTAAGAACCGATATTATATTTCCCAGGAGACACACTAATTAAGAATTAAAAACAAAGTAACTGTTGCTGAGTCTGTAACACTAGGAGAGCCAGGAGCTGCCAAATTTTAACTAGATGGAGAGGACACAGAAAGCCAATCTCAGTTTCTTGAATCTGACTGGCAACATAAAGTGTTCCTATGGCTGAGACCCAAATCTGGCAGGAAACCTGCACAGCAATCACCTCAGATGAAAGTTTGAAGGTGGATGAAACAGCCTTCTCTGTAGATAGTGCATATGCATACAACAAATCAGTGCAGAGTAGTTGATTCACACCCTAGATTAACAAACTCCTTGATACTGATATCCAACTGAAACTTGCCATTCACCCTGACTCTACCCTTGGCTCCTCAGTTGAGTCTCCCCAAACTCAGCAAGAGACTTCAAAGGGGCAGAAGACCAGGAGCAACCAGCAAAAGGCTTGTGAGGGAAGCAGCTACCAAGACTTTTGCCTTCTCTCACCACCTTGCTAGAAGATAATCCAATGACCTCATTTAGCAGAAGTCATAGAGGATTTTAGGGTATATGTTTGGGAATAGACGTACTGAGGGAATTGGAAGTGGTAAAATGGAGAGAAAGATTTGTGTTGACCAGACTCTTAAGAGTATTTTTCAACAAGTCAACACTTACCACTGAGAGTGTATTATTAGTATTGCTTCTATTACTGAAGATGTCTAGATGTGACTTATAAAACCCAAACAAAACCCAAACACATTCAAGTATAATATTGACATGCGAGCTCTCTCCACTTAGTGAGTGCCATGAGGTAAAGGACTGCTGAGCACTGATCTTATCTTCTTTAAACATCCTCTTGTCAACACACTGGCCATGACTCAAATGTTGTCAGCTCCAGTTCACCAGTGCACACCTGAAGACGTAACCATTTCAAGGAGTCCCTGTAAGGCAGTTCTTGTCACATGGATGTGTGACATGTGGCACCAACACTGACATTTGACCTGCAATCTATGTGAAGTAACATCTAAAGTATCATCAATTCATGCTCTGACTGCTCATATGTCAGAGGCAGACAAAGGGTACTCATACACCTCCCATTCACTGAATGCTGAAGTTCAGCTTGTCACTGTGCTGGTATTAAATAACTTAAATGACCCAGTGGCTGGCAAGCTCCAACCCTCACAATTACTGACTGAGCACAGCAGTGGATTATAATGCCATCATGAAAATGAAGCTGGCTACATCAACTCAGACAAACTTCTCAATTGCATAAGTCGCTTGCTTGATTAGTTATTCAAAAACAACTGGTAATTTATTGTATCAGACAGGCTTTTTATTTCCTGGCCTTCTAACTCCAGTGTTCCCAGTCTGTTTCTAGTAGTGCGTTCTATTTTGTTCTCATTTTTGCACTAGGGTTAACACCTGATCAGCTCTTTTGAAGTAGTGCAAAATTACTGGGAAATCAACTGGAGAAATAAACAAGAAAACTAGGCCACAAGGAATTTGGATCAAGACTAGAAAGGCTCCATTCAAATGCTGGTACAATGTCTAGGCTGTCTTTCATTTAGGTTTCATCACAAGACAATTCCCGCGAAAAGGTCATGTAAAATAGTTTTTACTGGGCAAGACTGAGAGTTCAAATCCCAACCCTTAGAATATTCTGGGTACCACTTTCTTCCTTTATCTTCTTTTTCTTCTATACCAACAGAATCAGTTAATTTAATTGTTTAAATACATTGTGAACCGACTGGATCACTTCACTGAAGGGAGCAAAGTTATGTGGAAAATATTTGAGTGTCACTTGGCTGCTAAATGTCCCTCTAACATAACTATTTTTTTTAAGAAAGGAAGCTGTAAATATGAAAAGATTGGGTTTTTTAAAGCCAACTGTAAAATATTAATGCATTTGCATAAGAATATTTAATACCCCATGCTAGTAGAAAACTGCTGGTAAACAACATTTCATGTTTTGTCTAATGGAATCCCTTGCATTTTAACACAGTTCACCGTCCATCTAATTTACCCCATTAGATAATGTCAGCTCTCAAAGTGCAGAATATATATACAGCAGCTGTGCTGTTCTCCAGCTCCTTCTGAGTGTTCCATCAGCTACCTAATTTGTTTAGTGCTTCTTCAGCTCCAGTTGTATCTAGTGCTATCATTAATGAAAAGCCTATTGTGTCTGGATGGTTTCTAACTGTAAAAAAAGATGTCAGGAAGGCATAATTGAATTATATTCCCTTAGATAAAACAAAGTTATCTTGGAATATTATTGAAGACAGTAGTCCCTGGTTTATTAGCTATCTGGTAGAGTTTAAAATTATGGTAATCATAATACACATGAATAAGACGCATTTTATGTTCAAGAAAAGTGCTCACAGGAATATCCCCTTGTTTTGGCTCATCAAAGTATCTTTTAAAATTTCTGTTCTTTTATTAACAGACTCACCTCAGCTATCACATCAATTGGGCTAAGCTAGGTCAGACACCTAGGTCTGATGAACATTTTATTCTTTACAGTGCAATTCAGAAAACACAGTGTTCATCTGACTGATACTACAGTTGCTTTAACTTCTGTGTTTGGCCTTATAAAAAGGTGATTCGAACTTTAGTCTTCCAATACAGTGGGTTTCATCTTATAGCATGTGCGTTTGCAGGCACTCTGATAAGGGTTCCACAGGAAGTACTTAAGAAAAGCAAGTTTATATAGGATATCCAACAATGCAAATATGAGAAATTTTCAATTTTTCTATATCCTACATTTCTAAGGCATCCACAGTAGGAAGCAAGAAACAAAATAAAATCAGAGAAAATTCTTAAACAATAAGAACATCAGAAAATGTTTACTGCAAGAATGGTTAAATGAGGCTAGATGAAAAAACATCCAACAGATAATGGAAGAAATTTAATCTCTAGCTCTCTCAAATGGCACATAAAAGTCCAAACTTGTTTATTACCAAGTTATTCAAATTCCCTAGTCACAGCAGTTAGGGATGACTTTAGCTATTAATCAATTTGGTAAAACTATCCCATAGAGGAGTATTCCTCAGGGAACTCAGAAGCTAACTCCCCACGAAATACCAGTCTCACCCTCTGGATAGAGTTCAGAAAGTACTGGGCTGTCAGGCTTTTTGTTTAGTGTCACTCAGATTTCAAATCTGACTCCCAAAAATCAGCATACCTTGAAATCCTGAGACTATCTGGACTACATCGTCATAGACCATTAGAGTAGCTGAGCGTTCAGGAAGAAGGCCGAGACTCAGTGAAGAGAACACTGTGGGAGAGAAGTGGTTTAAGTGGGATATATTTGAATTCTTATAAACATAACCCCACAACAACAGCACTTACTTTTTTCTACATTTTTGCAAAAGCAGGCCACCCAAAAAATGAAAACCACATTGTATACGTGACAGAAACCACATGCATTTTCTAAACCAAATAATTAAATTTCCAGGGTAATTATTATTGAACTAAACAGCACGTTCTATGCTTTGACTCCTACAAGTCATGCATGGTAGCTCAAAGTACATAAGAGTGCAGTGTAAAGCAGGGTTTTGGGTTACAGCTCCACAGAAAGACTTGTCATTACATAAAGAGGAGTGAAACACTAACTCAGTGTGACTAAAATATTTTTTTCTGTGAAATAGCTATACTTTTAGGAAGATTTTAATGAAACTTAACTTTCAAATACTTTGAGATACTTATATAAATAGTCATAGAGGCAAAGTATGATGAATAAGCCTGAATAATTTGCTTTAAAATACAGCATGTCCTTACTAAGTCGCCACCTACACTATAGAAGTGCTATATATATATATATCAGAATTGTCATTCTACCAGTGGTGTGAAAGGGGACAGATAAATGGTTATCTGCTACAAGAAAGGTACCTGCAAGGACGTCCTTTGCCACTGGGTACTGACATTCCTTGCAGGGGGCTGTGTCTGCATGCACACACATCTTTGGAGAGTGAAGAACATGATATAATTTCATGCCAAGTTCTTCAGACTCAGAAGACCAGAAATATGTATGGAATTAGCCATCAAGCACACCTGACTCCCACACCCATGAAAACAGTAAGAAGTAGACCTGCCTGCAGTCCATGCATGGCTTTCAAAGATAGAAGGAGAGAAGGAGATTAATGAAGACTAGTAATTTTCGGTAACTGAGCACCATCCCACATTTGCACCAAGAAAGTACTCATCCCATTCTGAAGTGATCACGAGCTGAGGAAGACATTTCCAGAACCGAGTAATAATAGAACAGCACAAGCTCTTCTGATTTTCTGGAGTTTCATAAATTTCCTCTGAATTAATATGTATTACTTAATTCAAAAGACCATACAGATGTTAGCTACAGAGAGACTGTACACTATTTCTGTTTTAAGAAATATATTATCTTTTTAAAGACCAGAAGTTTTAGTGTTTGGGACAAATACTGGAGAAAGCAAAATAAACTAGGAGAAACACACTGCTAAGAGCCACCATCTAAAAGATTATCTTAACAACATATATGAACATTAGAAAAAAAAATCATGTTATTGCAAGTACAGATGAGAATTTTCTTTTCGACACTCTACATGTGAAACAGATCTACACATCAAACAACATAAGTACAAAAGCCTACTGCAAGTAGCAATAAGGCCACACAATTACAAAATCTGTTTGTCTTTACTCCAATAACTTAATTTGTATGAAGAAAGCTAATATAATTTAGACACCCTGGGGAGCTCAACACAATAAAAAAACCCAACATCTTCTTCTATATATGCCAGACTATAATGCATATATAACCTCTAAAACTTCCCTTGGGCTTTTCTGCACAATCTTTTCTCAGCATGACAAAGGCAGAAAGTCATAGTTTTTAAGGCCAGAAGGATGACTGTGATGATCCAGTCTTACGCCTGTATAACTACAGCCTCCCCTGAATTAATTACAGCTTCAGTTCCAATAGAAAATGTTGCAGAAAAACTATCCAATTTTCTTTTAAAGGTGCCCAGTGGTGAAGAACACACTGCAATGTCAACGTTCTAGTAAATAATTACGAGGGCAGTTAAACTATGTGTCTTTTTACCCACCAAAATTTATTGAGGTTAGACTTCCAGCCATTTGATCTTCTTTTTATACAAGCCTGCTAGACAGAAGAATTCTCTTACCTGTTTCCTGTTCTCTATGCAGGTACTGATGGACTAAGATCAAATTACCCCATGAACTTTCTCTCTGGTGAAGAAAATAAATTAAGCACTTCCAAGCCTTTCCCTCTAAGTCGTTTCTCCAATTCTTTTAAGCACTCCTGATATAACCCTGCAGTGTTAAAACATTTTACTTGAAGCACGGATCCAGAACTGGACACACATTTCCCTGAGTGGCCACACCAAAGACAAGTTCTGAAATACTATATACCATCTTCTCAGTCTTTACTGTATTTTACAGCTAGGGAACAGATTATTCTGCATTTCTGCATTGCTGCATTGGGACGTTATTTTTAATCATTCATCTACCATGACTCACAGAGTCTTCTGCAGAGTCACTGCTTTTGAGATGAGCTCTCCTCTCCCAGAAACACTATGAGCATCCTCTGCTCCTAAAACTACATTTTACCGCATTGAATACCATGGTTTGCTTTGACTGACCCTACCAACTAGTCTGAACTGTGCTGCCTCAGCAACTTCCCTCTCTCCATCGCACACATTGCTCCCAAATTGTCCTCTTAAATAGGGACTGCCAGTCACAGTTTTTTATCTTCCAAATTATTTACAAAGAAAAATCTACGCACAGCTAAGAGCAGATAGATGATCACAACTTCCATCATGAACACTTCAACAACTCAAGCGATGTTAAATTAATGAACTGTTAATAAGTGGAGTCATGGTTCTGCTGATAAATAGTTTAATGGAAAAAGCGATCTTAATCGTTTCCTCCTACCATTTATCACTATGTAAATAAATAATCCTCCTGCTTAAGTGGTAAGGAGCTAGATATTATTTTTGTTAATATAAGAAAAGTTCATTTCTGCTGAATTATGAAAACAGAAAACCCTTGATGCTTACTTCTTAGTTATTACAATAATATGAGTTCAGTGGCTGCACAGCTTCTCAGCGTAAGATTATAACTAATGTATGTAGACTGTGATCGAAGAATCCTGATCTTTCATCAAAGTGCTGTTACAGTACTTCAAACATTATCACCCTATAGCTCTCAAACCTACTCCCTGCTCATGGTTATCATTTCTGCATTTGAAGTAAACATGTCTATAGTTAATTTACTGCAGCACACAGGACAGCGTATCAGCTTAAACCAGTGCTGTGGGTAGAATGCTACTCCGAATGGTGTATCTGCTCTATGGGGTGACAACTGGTAGCACTGTTAAAAGGCATTTTCGGGAACTAAGGATCCTGCTGTACACATGTGCCCAGACTGCACACTGTAGAATCAAGATTTAAATATGATGCCTGTTCCCCATCATTCAACCAAGATTAATAACAACAACAAAACTTCCATGGTTTTCAAAACTTCTATACTGTGCTGGCTACAAGCATGACAGGCATTTAAATACAGCACATTTAAATGCAAACAGTTCTTGGAATTTTTCTAAAAATACTATAGGTATCTTAGTCAACACAGAAAATAACAGTCTAAGTATCTTGGGTCTGAACTTTTATGCTGTGTCCCTTTTCAGGAATAACTCAAAGAACAACCCTATTAAATCTACATGGGGTGTATCAAGTTGTAACTTGTTGTTTCTTTAATCAAAGAAAGGATTAAGTTCAAGGTACAAAAAGGAAAAGGATTCTACTCCCAATTAAATCAATGGCAAAGTATCTACCAGTTTCAGTGTGGGAAGATCAGAGGTGAAAGGAATCTATTTTCTGAGTTAAGCTCACATTTCAGCTGTGGAAAGAGATTTTGTGGAAACTGTATATGATTACAGGTCTTTAAACTTCAATGACTTACCAAAACAATAATGGCATGTTTGATTCCCTTCCCTAAAAATCAGTATTTAAGAAAAAGCAACAAGCAAAAAACCTAACCAGACAAACTCCAGGCCATGGAAGAGTAGTCACATTCAAAAGATCCAGGGTATGAGTCAGAAAGACACAAGGTGAGAAAAGGTTCAGGCAAGAAAAGGTTATTGCATGCTTTAATCATATATGATTGTGTCTTAAGGAAGTACATGAAACATGCTGAGGAAGCTGCAATTCATCTTATTCAAACAGAAGGAAACATCAAGGAAATTTCTAAACAGTCACAAAACAATTATGGTTGGAAGGGACCTCTGGAAGTCACCTGCTTCAACCAAGCAGAGGAGTATCCAGCTGAATTTTGAGTATGTTTAAAGATGGAGATTTCACAACCTTTCTGGAAAATCTGTTCCAATCTTTGATTACTGCTACTGTAAAGAACTGTTCCCTTTTATTAATTTGAAATTCTCCTTGCTGCAGCTCATTTCAGTTGCTTCTTATTTGTTCACCATGCACCTAAAAGCCTGGCTTAGTCTTCACTACAGCTCCATTAAGTAGCTGGAAAATGTGGAAGAATACAGTAGAGGAAATGTAGAAGTCAGTCTATCTTACTTGAAGCAAGCAAGTTCAGATAAGTAAACAGCATGTTGAAATGCCTAAAGCATAATTCTGAAGAGATTCAAGTTCCTTTTCCCATATGAAAATATATTTGCTGCTTGACCTTGTGGCAAGTCACACAGTCCTTCCGGCTATGTTGATACTAACAAATAAAATAGAGCCAAGGCGTGGGATTGAACACTGCCCTGGTATCATTTGTACTATTTAAATATTAGTGCACTTAAAATGTGGCATGGCTTTGGCCTCAGCTAATGAGGTGATATTTAGGTGTGATCTGGGTATAATACAAGCCTCAGACTATTCCCAAACTACTTTCACCCAAATTGTGGCTGGGGATTAGAGGAAAGACAGATAAAAACTGGGGATGTGGCCTTCTTCATTTAGATGTTATGTCTCCTGGTCTGAAAATCACTCTCGATCTGTTTTATTTAGCAGTACAGAAATAGTTTTCATGACTCAGTTTCCCCTCCTGTACAACTAACGAAAAGTCTCCCACTTCCCATAAAATTTTGAGGCATTCTGATAAAAACTAATATGCAAGCATTATTGTTGTATTTGTTTGCCTGTGGAAGAAACAAACCACGCTAATTAAGCTAGAAAAAATCCTTACATCTGGATAACATAACTGCAGATTAAAACTGTCCTATGGACATAGCCAAGAACTGAAAGGCCAGGACTTCTTTTGTACACTACAGCCTGAAGTGCAACAGTTGTTGCTACACCTTGGGGGAGAAATGAATGAGTACATTATAGCTGTCGAAACAAAGCACTTGGAAACAGAGTTCCCATAAAGAAAAATATCTGGAACAGATTTGTATTTTTTGTGGAGCTGTAAGAGCACCAACAGTTGTTTGAAAACTGACACAGCACAGTATCAAGGACAGCCAGGAGGAGAGCACATCTCTGCATAGCCCTGATGCCACAGTTTAACTGAGGAAGAAACCTTGCTTTTTTTTGAAACACACAGATGTTCTTCCGCCCACCCAGGACAGCAAGCATTAAAACACATCATACAAAACTGTGTAACTTCCTTTAGATGCAAAATCTTACCTCAGAACAAAAATAAAGATCTCTTACCAGGCAATCTTACAGGTTTCCATGGTGCAGAATTTGGCACATATGCATGTTTACTAGCAGTCACTATCAGCTGATTGCCCAACTTATACTGAAACTTGAGGAAGGCAGTGCCATCTGCTCCTGAGGTTCCAGATGCAATGGAGATCTGGTTGGTAAAAATCTCAATGAAGGCTTCAGTTACTGGCTGATGTGTGCTGGCATCGCTTACATGGACCTTCAGCGTTACTTCTGTAATGACAAACAACCACAGCAATTATCGTCCAAAAAGCTTCTGCAGGAGGCAGCAGTTAGAACATGCTAGCACACCAATGATCAAAGAGACATCAGGCTCAGTGCTAACCTCTGACACTTTGGTGCCAAGTACGACCTCTTGTCCTGGCCTGCAGTTCTCCATTTCAGGCAGTCACTCTTTACACTGCAGATTCTGCCACAAACCAGACCAGGTCCTGAATTATTGCCTTTACTGCTAACTCCAGCTGTGGAGGCATCTATATTCCACTTAAGACTCACAAACAGCTGGGCAGCATATCACCAGGGGCAGGCAATATTCCCTTTGATGGGCAACATGTCAGTCTCACAGTAGCATCGTAATTCTAAATATGTGTGCTATCAAACATCATGTATTAGTCATGGACAGCACAACATCGTAACTCTCTGTGAGGTCCCTGCCTCTCTGTGCCTCTGCTCTGGACAGCCTTTTCCACCAGCAGCAGGGAGAGGGAAAAACTGGCAGTGAGCTGCGCTCCTTGACCCATTCCTCAAAACATCTCTCTCTTTGTGTAGCACAGGAATGGAGGTAATCTGCTGTGATGGAAGCCCAGGAAGAAAGTGAGCAACGAAGTGGGCTGTGTTACAGTCAGAGATTTTGAACCCCAGTTGGAGAGATTGCCCCAGCTGGCATAGGACTTCCTTGGTGGGGTCTAACCAAGGTGGTGAAATCCCACAAGATCAGGTCCTTGTCCTCAAAGCACAGGATGACCAGGTGGGATGCAGAATACTAGCAGTGAGGAAGAGAGGAACACTTCCCACCCTCCCTCTCTGTTCACTGGCCCTTTTTCCAAAGGGGCAAAAATGTCACAGCCCCTAGTGGTATCTGCTTGTCTGCGGCAGGCGGAGGAAGCAAGCAGCCGGTTCAATGTGAATGATAGAGCAAGCTTCAACTTTATTGAAAGAAATCACACCTTATATAAGCACTCTACAATACACTACTTGCAACTCTATTGGATACATTTAAGAAACTACATTATAATATCTCAGCCATTGGGTACATTTAAAAGGTCACATTATAATATCCCAGCCCCTTGTGGCATTTCCGGTATGCATAAACATCTTTCTTGCTGTGAACCTGCTTCCCTCTCAGGGCTGTTTTTCTCTCACCCCCAAGGTCATAATGTGCCCCAACTTATCTCTTTGTTCTCACAACAGTCCCTGTTAGCATCACTGTACCCTGGGTTTTTTCCTCTGTTTACCTCAGGTGGCTGCAATCAGCTTCTGCAGGGAGCTATGGCCTTGCTTTCTGCAAGCCGTTCTCCAACACTTGTCAGCCCTGACACTACCACACTGGTCCCCACATACAACTGGTGGGTATGAGAAGCAAAGAAGTGATGGTTAAGGCAGTCAGGAAAATCATACATCTTGTAGACATGCAGTCAGAAGCTAACACAATGGACTAGATTTTCCTTGAGTAATTTGCCATTTTTCCAGAAATTAATTACTTGTTTAAATGTTTCCAGATGTACAATATTTGTCCACTCCAGGGCACTCCTATGACTAAACCATGCATTGTGTCACCAGGCTTTTGTTACATAAAGTGCAGTGGCTTGTGCAAGACAGTCCCTCTGGAAGGCATTCCTCTATATCTATGATTATTATTCTGCCCCTCCACTAGTTCCTCTGCCTCATGCTCCAAAGAGACAGCTGTTGTCTTTCTTCAGGAACGATGACTACGCATTTAGCAATGCTGTGTTCAAAAGATCCAGCAACGGTCCAATGTCTCCACCCTGTCTCTTATACACAT